ATTTATTTTGGTCTTTTTGAGACAGGATCTCCCTGTAGCCCCAGCTGGCCTGGAACTCAGTATGTAGACCAGGCTGGACTCGAACTCACAGAGCCTGCCTCTGCCTCCTGAGTGCTTGGATTAAAGGTGTGCGTGACCATGCCTGGCAGGTCCTATATTTTTTAAAAATTAATTAAAAAAATAAAAGGGAAGGCTGGGCCCTTGTTGGTCTCTCTCTTGTCTCACCATGCTATCTCTATCTTTCACTCTGCCATGATGCTATCCACCATGATGGTAAAATAGCCAAGGATCCCTTACTAGATGTTGAATAGACACCTCCACCATCTCAGGACTCAATAAATATCTTTCCCTTATCAAGTACCCAGCTTCAGATACCTTGTTATAGCAATGGAAAACAGACTAAGGCTAAGGGCTGGACAAAGTTATAACAAAAATAGAATTATTTTTTCAGAAGAAGTATAAGAGAGATCGAATAATGGTGGTCAACATGAATGGACATTCTTATGATAAAAGAAAATAATAAGTTAATTTAAATTACTATTGGGAATGAATTGAATTTAAAAGCTTAAAATAATAAATCAGTTTAAACAGGAACAGAAAACTTCTATTTTAGGAAGAACTTCCAAAAAATAGAAGTTAGTCATTATAAATAGAAATCTGTTTTATGGACTGAAAGTTGAAGTGATCAGAAATTAAAAGAAGGAAGTGTAACTAAGAGAACACTAAGCTTTTCCTTAAGGAAAATTCTGACTCGCAGCTAGTGACTTTAACATGTCTAATAAGGAGATCCTTGTCAACGAATTTCCATATTGGGTGCTCCACAGTGTGACTGCCACTGACCTGGGTGGCAAGCCTACACAGAAGTTTGTCACATCTTAGTTGCATTGACATAATCCTTTTCATGTCAGACTATGTGGAGGTTGGTCCTGGCATACTTACTGAAGCCCTGGCAGCCTTGGGAAAGAGCAATCCCTCTGAGCAGGCCTCTCTTCCTGGTCTTTGGGACTGGGGTAGTTCAGGATGACCTTCTGCACTGGGTGCAGGCCTCTCACAGCTGCTCCAGGAAAGGCCTGCCCAGGCACAGCAGGCTGGATCACTTGCTGATAGGCTGCTCGAGGGTAGTCATGGCCATCTGTAGGTGAACAAAAGAATTGCAGTGAAGGACATGTGAAAGGACAGGCAAGCTCACTGCAAATTTTTCTGTTGATATCAACTGGCAGGTCCACATATCAGCCCACCTCCATGATATTTGTCATATTTCTGTACTATTACTTACTTTATAATTCATGAAACTGACTCACTTTTCTTCCTATGCAAAAACATCTGTGAAATCACTAGTTTGATATTCTAATTTGAAAGCTCAAAGAACTTAAAAAAACAAAAACAAAAAAAAAAACCTCTACATAGGCTCCTGTTTTAATAAGATATTTAGGATACCCTGTTCCTACCATAATTCCCAAAATATCTAGAGCCCAAGGCTAGGAGAAGCTATCTCTGTGACAGATAGAAATTACTGTGTTCCTTACCACCAAGAGGACACACACACACACACACACACACCTCCCTCTTAGGAAGAAGTAAATAAGTGAACACTTGGCTCATCTCTAGGAAATGACCAACCAGTTTGCAACATCCTTGAATTTCATGGTTTCTCTTACTGAAGCCTAGGTATACTTGGTGCTAGGGCAATTGAAGAGGGTGAGGGAGGGGGTGGCTCAATGGACATAGTGCTTGCTGTTTAAGTATGAAGACCTGAGTTCAGATCCCCAGCATCCACATAAAGTCAGGCATGGGGCAACACATGCCTGTAATCCCAGTGCTGGGGAGGCAGAAACAGGAGAAACCCTGCGGCTTACTGGCTAGGCAGTCTAACTGAATTAGTGAGCAACAGGTTTGATGAGAGACCCTCTCTCCAAAGATAAGGTGGAGAGTGATTGAGGAAGACATCTGATGTGTACTTCTGGCTTCTACACACATGCACATATGTATGCATTCATACCCCTTCCACACACACATATACATACACACATATACACACAAAATTAGTATTTTTTTTTAAAGGGCAGGGATTGAAGCAAAGCCAGGGCTGGCAGGAACTGATTGAAGAAAATGGGAGAAAGTTGGTCCTAGCCAAGCCTCAGAGCAGCAGGGTCCCGAGGGAAGGACAGCTCAACTGACCAAGTAAGAAAAGAGAGAGAGAGAGAGAGAGAGAAAGAGAGATGCAGGGTTTGAAGAGATGGCTAAATGGTTAAGAGTGCTTGCTGCTTTTCCAGAGGACCTGAGTTCAGTTCTCAGCACCTACATTGGTGCTCACAACCACCTGTAACTCCAGCTCCTGGGGATCTGACACCCTCTTCTGGCCTTCAAAGGCACCTGCACACACACACACACACACACACACACAGCATATACTCACACTCACACAGGCACATAAATTTTAAAAAAAAGTTTGCAGAAGAGAGATAGGAGGAGCCAGTGAGGGAGACAGAGGTGGACCCCGAGGGAACAACACAGGCCAGAGGGCTAGAGCTAGGCTAGAGCTAGGTATGCAGGGAGAGACTCAAGTGAGCAGCCCTGTAAGAGAACCAAATAAGTAGCCCTGTAAGAGAAGCCACAAAGCTCCTCTTCATGATCCAAGCTGTTGCCCCAGTTCAGATCAGAGTTAGGATGAGCTAGAAGGCATAATCAGTTAAGGCAAGAAGGATTTTTTGTTTAAAAAACAATTAATGGTGTTAATTCTGATCTATAAAAGTAACATCTGAGCCAGGCGTGGTGGTGCACATCTTTAATCCCAGCACTTGGGAGGCAGAGGCAGGGGGGTTTCTGTGAGTTCAAGGCTAACCTGATCACATAGTGAGTTCCAGGCTAGCTGTGGGAGACAGGGAGACCCTGTCTCAAAATGACCAAAAAAAAAAAAAAAACCAGTAATATCTGGTGGACATGGTGGCACATGCCTTTAATCCCAGCCCTCAGGAGGCAGAGGCAGAGGCAGGTGGATTTCTGTGAGATCAAGTCCAGCCTGCTGCATATAATGACCTCCTGGAATTAGAGAGACCCTGTCAAAAAAAAAAACAAACAAACAAAAAAAACCAGTAATGATATGTTTGCCTGCCATGTAGGTAAAATACATGAGGGGATGTTCAGTGGCAAATAAGCAAGAAAGTAATAGGCAGTTCTAGCACACTTAATTTAAGATCAGGTCCTTGCCCTTGATCTCATCGCCCGGTTGAAGTACCAGAATGGGATGATGAGACTATCCCTAGCAGTCAGGATCTTTTGACATTTTTAAGGGATCATTCAGAGAAATGATGGTGTGAAGTACAGACCAGCAAGCAAATAATATGTGTATTCACTAATGTAGCTGCCTCCAGGTCTCCATTGCCTGAATTTGGTTGGGTAACCCTGGCAATCTACTCAAGTCAGATTCTCATGCCAAGTCAGATTCCCTGGAGTCAATCCATTGTTTGCTTTGACCCTGATATTACCTGTGTCCTTCCTGCCATTCTTCCTCGGGCAAAAGTGAACATACCACTCCAACCTAGGTTGTCTCCTGGCTTTGAACCTTTGAACAGTGACCCCCGCCCCTGCTTTTGCTGGACCCTAACTATTGCAAGCAATAGTGGTTTAAGGAAAGGGAGCACAAAACAGGGATCTTCCCAGGCTTATCCCAGCACTAGGCTGACAAAGGAAATGAGGGCTCCGTGGGCAGTTCTGAGGATGGGGAGACAGGACCATTGAGACTTACGTGGTCTAGGACAAGGTCTGTCACAAAGGTTTTGCTTTCTAAGACATCCTTCTTAGAAAAGGCCACATGGATTCTAGGGTCTAGATTGCCAATGGGAGTTTCAGGGCACCAAGGCAGGTCACTACAGCTGCTCCAGCTCAAAAAAGGGCAAGAGCTGCTGCTATCGTGTCCCCAGGCAGGACAGGAGCCAAGCTTTCCTTAAATTAGCCTGGCATGGGTTTAGAAACAGTTGTAGCTACAACCTTCCAGAGCACTACTGCACTTAAGATTCACCCTGCGTTACCCTGCCATTGAGCTCATATCCCATGACCTGTCACTGGCCCACTATAGACCAGCTTCATCCTGAACACCCCAAGCTGGTCACCACTCCTGGGATCAGAGACTGTCATTTTTTCTGCCTAGAAAGTTTTTATCTTAGATCTTCACAGATCACCTTCTCATGGCTCATTCCAGGTATCACCCGTTCAAGGTGGCCTAACCCTTCACCCAGTTATCTTCTCTCGTCCCCTCTTTTATTATCCTCATCACTCCAAAAGGTTTGTGAAAATAGATACTATGGGTTTTTTGCTACATCACCAAGAATAGGATTGCCACACAGGTAATGCTCAATAAATAAAGACTGAACAGTTACAAAGACAGCTTATGCATGAAAGAGAAGCCATTTTGAACTACACAACATGCTTGCTAAGTCTTGGTCTCCTAAGCTACCTACTCCTTGTCTGCTGCTCATTTAAAAAAATGAAAATCAGTTTTCCCCTCCAGAAATAAGGAGAAAGACAAGGTCAAAGAAGAAAAACCACCAGTGGCCTTGAAAGATTGTCCAAAGGAGATGCTAAAAGTAAACTCAAGTAAAGTTTTTAATATTTGGAGGCATTTTGCTTCCCATATCCATTAATGAGTGGCTAATATTTTATTTGCTTTAAAAAGACTAGCAAGTTCTAATCATAGGGTTTGTTTCTTTTCCAGAAAGCAGATGTTAGTGCTGTTAATCAAAAGCCTTTGAATCAAGGTCATATGATTTCTAACAGATTATTTCCCTCACATGTTTTTGTCTCATAGCAACAAATCGTATCATTAAAATCACTAAGCATGTGGGCTGAGTGTTTGATTAGCTGTAGCTTTCATTTCTGAAATGGCCACCTGTGGTTAAAAAGTTATACCAGTTTACGTGAGCAGATGAAAATGATCTACCTCATTGGTTTTTAAAGTTAGTGTACTGACAGCATAATCTTCTGTGTTGTCCTCTTGTTTAAAACACCGAATTCCAGCGAGTCAACCAAAAATAAAACTTTCCTTCTGTACGTGGAACTTGAACTGGCTTTACTTGGAAATTTAGCTGATTACATAGGAAAGTTGTTAAATAAAAAATGTTTATTAGGTAAATAAATCATCTTTTCACTGTTCAAGTTTTTTTTAATTAATTTATTGTGTGTGTTGTCAGAGGACAAGCTGCAGAAGTTGAACCTCTCCTTCCACCTTGTGGATCCCAAGGATTGAATTCAGATTGTCAGGCTTGGCAATAGGCATCCTTACCCACTGAGCCATCTCACTGGCGCTCATTGCTCAAGTTATCGTGAGCAAGCCTTACTAGCTACATGCTACATGCTAAGTACTATTCTAGATTCTTTACTCAAGATTATAAGGGTTCAATTTTCTATTTCCCTAAAAGAGTAGTTTAACTCAGAATAGACTACAGATTCCTCACCAAGGCCTTGCATCCTCTAGCATATCACTCTGTCCTTGCTCACTTCTTGCAACCCCACTGTCTTGCTCTTGGTACTTACCAACAATGTCAAGCTCCGTGCTTGCTTGACCTTTTCATTCTTCAGGTTCAGCTCAGCTGTCTTCTCAGTGAGACCCTCTCTGGCCACCTGCCAATTAAGATCTGCTCCAACCCCTGATTTTTTCCTTTGTAGCATATATGATTTGTCAAATTGTGTATTGATTTCTACTTATTTTCTGTCTCCCTAGTAAACAGTGAACTCCACATATACAAGAACTTTGTGTGCTATATTCATATCTATGCAGTGCCTAGCAGAAAACACGGCAAATTTTATTAAATTAATTGGTAAATGGACAGGTTCTGTTTACAAATCCTTTCTTTCCTCCTTCTTTTCCCTACCAGACAATTAAAGAAGACCTTTCTAAAACTTCAAGCCACAAAAACTCTACTGAGCTAGAGGTCTCTCCTCTCCCCAAGAAGTAGAAAACAGTTTTCTTTTTATTCATTCAGCAAATATTTATAGCACCTCTACTCCTAGGCATGTAGTGAACAAAGATAAATAAGACACAGTTCCTTTATGCAGCTCAAGATAGAGAAAAATCTGTGTGTTTGTAGGTGTCTGTTTTTCAACACAAGCCCACACTAGTTGGTGTGTGAGAGGGGGAGGCATACAAATCAGCAACCACCTACTTGAGAATCACTGCTCAAAAATAGCTTCCCACAGATTTGTCCCATATGCCTAAAATTCCATCAAGAGAGTTTACTCTGTAGGAGATAGAAGGTGGGTGACATGGTAGACAAATGATTCGCTAGCATCATAACTCAGTTCTGAGGCCATGTTAAGCATAGAGTGAAAACAACAAAAACGAAAATCTTGCACAATCCTAAACGAGTATCCAGCACTGCATGTTATTTGTCAGTCCTGTGATCTGCTTGGCCTGAGTACACACACTCTTCATGTTACTAGGCTTTTACCACTTGGAATTTGTAAACCAAGCCCTAAGCGAGGTTTACAACATTCAACATTTTTCTTCCTTATTAAGAATGGTATTAAAAAGAGCTTATGAGAGAAAATAAAATCTGATTTTCAAGTTGTCAAAAAACATCAGGATAAAATGCAATCAGTTTAGCCAGGAAACAAAATGGCCAGCATAAACTGTTACAAGAACTCCCACAGCCGTAAGCAGCTGGGGCTCCTGCAAGCAACCCCTTTCTTTATCATTTCTTCCGTCTGGTTTACTTTTTCCTTGCTTTAATTGTGCATGCA